CATCGACATGCAAGTCGTGGTTCCTATTACAAGAACATGATCAATCTTATACATCACATATATCATTCATCACATCCTTTTGGCCATATCACATCACACGGCACATGCTGCAAAAACAAGTTAGACGTCCTCTAATTGTTGTTGCAAGTTTTTACGTGGCTGCTATAGGTTTCTAGCAAGAACGTTTCTTACCTACGCCAAAACCACAACGTGATATGCCAATTTCTATTTACCCTTCATAAGGACCCCTTTCATTGAATCCGATCCGAGTAAAGTGGGAGAGACAGACACCCGCTAGCCACCTTATGCAACTAGTGCATGTCAGTCGGTGGAACCAGTCTCACGTAAGCATACGTGTAAGGTCGGTCCGGGCCGCTTCATCCCACGATGCCGCCGAATCAAGATAAGACTAGTAACAACAAGTAAATTGACAATATCGACGCCCACAACAACTTGTGTTCTACTCGTGCATAGAAACTACGCATAGACCTAGCTCATGATGCCACTGTCGGGGATCATAGCAGAAATTTAAAATTTTCTACGCATCACCAAGATCAATCTATGGAGTTATCTAGCAACGAGGGGAAGGGGAGTGCATCTACATACCCTTGTAGATCGCTAAGCGGAAGCATTGCAAGAACGCGGATGAAGGAGTCGTACTCGCAGCGATTCAGATCGCGGTTGATTCCGATATAAGCGCCGAACAACGGCGCCTCCGCGTTCAACACACATGCAGCCCGGTGACGTCTCCTACGCCTTGATCCAGCAAGGGGAGAAGGAGAGGTTGGGGAAGACTCCGTCCAGCAGCAGCACGACGGCGTGGTGGTGGTGGAGGAGCGCAGGACTCCAGCAAGGCTTCGCCAAGCACTACGGGAGACGAGGAGGGAGAGAGGTAGGGCTGCGCCAAGAGGGAGATCGATTCGTGTGTTGGGCAACCCCCATACCTCAAGTATATATAGGGGGAGGGAGGGGGCTGCGCCCCCTCTAGGGTTCCCACCTCAAGGGGTGCGGCAGCCCCTGATCCCATCTAGGGTGGCGGCCACAAGGGGGAGAGGGGGAGGCGCACCTGGGGTGGGCCTTAGGGCCCATCTGCCCTAGGGTTTGCCCCCTCTTCTCTCTAGGCGCATGGGCCTTGGTGGGGAGGCGCCCAACCCACCTAGGGGCTGGTCCCTTCTCACACTTGGCCCATGTATGCCTCCGGGGCCCGTGGCCCCTCCCGGTGGACCCCCGGACCCCTCCGGTGGTCCTGGTACACTACCGGTGATGCCTGGAACACTTCCGGTGGGCAAAACCATACTCCCTATATATCAATCTTTACCTTTGGACCATTCCGAAACTCCTCGTGACGTCCGGGATCTCATCCAGGACTCCGAACAACATTCGGTAACCGCGTACATACTTTCCCTATAACCCTAGCGTCATCGAACCTTAAGTGTGTAGACCCTACGGGTTCGGGAGTCATGCAGACATGGCCGAGACAACTCTTCGGTCAATAACCAACAGCAAGATCTGGATACCCATATTGGCTCCCACATGCTCCACGATGATCTCATCGGATGAACCACGATGTCAAGGATTCAATCAATCCCGTATACAATTCCCTTTGTCTATCGGTACGATACTTGCCGAGATTCGATCGTCGGTATCCCGATACCTTGTTCAATCTCGTTACTGGAAAGTCTCTTTACTCATTCCGTAACACATCATCCCGTGATCAACTCCTTGATCAGATTGTGCACATTATGATGATGTCCTACCGAGTGGGCCCAGTGATACCTCTCCGTTTACACGGAGTGACAAATCCCAGTCTCGATTCGTGCCAACCCAACAGACACTTTCTGAGATACCCGTAGTGCACCTTTATAGCCACCCAGTTATGTTGTGACGTTTGGCACACCCAAAGCACTCCTACGGTATCCGGGAGTTGCACAATCTCATGGTCTAAGGAAATGATACTTGACATTAGAAAAGCTTTAGCGTACGAACTACACGATCTTGTGCTAGGCTTAGGATTGGGTCTTGTCCATCACATCATTCTCCTAATGATGTGATCCCATTATCAGCGACATCCAATGTCCATGGTCAGGAAACTATAACCATCTATTGATCAACGAGCTAGTCAACTAGAGGCTTACTAGGGACATGGTGTTGTCTATGTATCCACACATGTATCTGAGTTTCCTATCAATACAATTCTAGCATGGATAATAAACGATTATCATGAACAATGAAATATAATATAATAATAACTAATTTATTATTGCCTCTAGGGTATATTTCCAACAGTTGGATCCAACACCTGATCTCACAAAATACATACATAAAGGTTCAGAAATAGATACTAAAGTACTTAATAGTTGATTATCATCTAGATTACAACACTGCTGGATCCAACACCATAGATCACAAATTCATCACTAAAGTACTTGGGTCACAAATTCATACTAAAGTACTGGATACAAGATTATCATCTACAAACGGATAGATGATTATCATACTAGAAGGCACCCTACTCATCTAAGATGGTCTTCACACCCTGAAGATTTAACTTTATCTTTTCCTCAGACTTTTGAAGCTCAGAAATGTGATACAAGCCGCCCTTCTGTCAGCCTCTCCTTCTCCTTCAAATGATTGAACTTCAAGTTCCTAATCACATTGGCTTGAGCACATCTCAGGTTCTTCAGAGTTTCATAGTTTTGCAGCATCTTCTTCTTCTCCTCCTCCGTCTTTGACAACTCTGCCTTCAAGTTCCCCACCACAGTCTCAAGCTCAACAATCTTCACATCAACATATTCCTTCTGCTCCTTCTGATTGTTTAACTCCACACCCCTTTGCTGCTGGGCATCCAAGAGAGAATTCACATCAGCATACAAACTGTCATGGTTCTCCTGTAGTTTCTTCTTCTCCTCCTCTTTCTTTGAAAGCTCTGCCTTCAAGTTGCAAACTACAGTTTCTAGCTTAGCAATCTTCATTTCAAGATATTGCTTCTGCTCCTTTTGATTGGTTAAATCCACACCCCTCTGCTGCTGGGCATCGAAAAGAGCATTCACATCAGCATACAAACTGTCATAGTTCTCCTGTAGTTTCTTCTTCTATTCTGTCAGGTTGTGAATTGCAAAGGAACTCTTTAGATTGTCATTGGTCCTAGCTGACTTAATCTCCTCATACATATCCCATAGCTTGGCCAATGCCTTCTCCATTGAGTCTGGCCATTCAAAATCAATCCATTGAACTACTCCACAGTTTATGCCTTCCTGTATTATAAACAATAGAAGAATAAATAATTGTCTAAGACCATCAAACCAACAGGTTCAGGTATCTAATATGTGCACTGTTAAAAAGACAAATAAACTAGTCACTAAGCACTGACAGGTTCCTTACCATACAACAGACAAATTAGCAATGCCCACTGGTAAACAAGTCATTGAGCACTGACCATAATAAACAATGACTACCATCCACTAATGAGAACACACTCCAACACAGTGGCTAAAGCAAATTAAACAAAGACAAAGCACTTAACCAAGCTTAACAACTTGAAGGCAGAGCACTGACCACAGTAAACAACTTGAAGGCAAATTAACAACTTGATAAACAAAGGAGTAAGCACTGACCATAATAAACAATGTGTACAATCCACTAATGACAAGGTATGTCAGAACAAGCTAAACAAAGACCAAGCTAAAAAAATCTTAACAACTTGATAAACAAAGCATTAAGCAAACAACTTCCTTTACACAAGATGTGAATCATACCTTCTTAGCACATCCAAGAAACCTCCTGCCCATGTGCATCCCTTCAAATGCTACAAAGCGCTCGGCCGGCTCACCGTGTTCACACAAGACATTCACATATGCGTCAGTGCCATTGAAATACGGATCGTGCATCGTAGCTGGAAGCTGCGGGAGCAAGCAAAGAGAAGGCTAGGTTCAGATCAAGCTCAGTGACAAAATCCCCAATTCACTAACCCTAACCCTAGCTCTAGCTATCTAACCAACTGACCTTGATGATGCCATCATAGGAGGAGGAGATGTTCAGGACTGAATCCTCACTGGTCTCATCGCTCCACGACACCATGGCACCGGGGAGCAGCAGAATGGCGGTCGGTGGTGTGGCGGCGCCGGGGAGGAAGAACAGAGTAAGGAGAGGGCGAGGCAGAGGCGAGAGTGTGAGCAGAGAGCTGGATCGATCCAATTTTTACCCACACGGCGGAGCAGTAGCGGCCGCCACGCCGTTGCCACTGTAGCACCGTCAGACGGCGTGAGCTTGCGGCCGTGACGCCACATAGACAAAACAAGGCCCCGCCTATCATAATAGAGGTTAAACTGCCCAAACAGACGGTTAGGTGTTTTCTGCAAATGATTAGGCGTGAAATCAGCATTTTCTGGCACAAAAACGTAGAAGAGTCTTTTCTGCAACCCTAGGCTTCAATGTGGTGATTTTTTGCAATTCACTCCTCTCGATGCCTGGTTGGCTGGTTGGCATTTGAACGTGAGTGGTCGATTTGAGGCTGAGTGCAAAAGATAGCACATATCACATGCACGCGTGCCTTTGAGGTTGAGTGCCAAAGCTAGCGAATAAAGCATGCAGTGGAGGATTTGATGGCGCCGATGGTGTGGTGTCAAAACAACGGCCGATGTATCTGTCGATTTGAGGTGAATTTGTGAGTTTGTGGGCAGCACTGGACTGGATGAGAGATTGGATCCGTGGTGCATGCTACAACTGCCGATATGGGCATCGCATCCAGTTCGTCCTGTTGGAGCAGAATCATATTCCGCGCGTGATCTCCAATGAATCCAATCCAACTGCCGAAAAGCTAGCTAGGCTTGCTTGTCCGTCCCTCTCTCACAGTGCAGCTCTCTCCAAGTCGGTTGTAGACACTAGCTATAAAGGGACATACACAGGAGCTCCAAGTTCTATCCAACACACACAGTACGTGTAGCTAGATAGCTAGTGCAGCTCGCACAGGCCTTATCCAAGAGAAGAGACCAATCGAACCGATGGAGCGCCTGCCGGCGGAACTCGTCTCGGCGGCGTTCGCCGGCACCACGCCACGTGACGCCGGTCGTGCCGCCATGGTCTCCACAGCATTCCGCGCTGCAGCCGACTCCGACATCGTTTGGGCCCGCTTCCTGCCGCCCCTCGAGCTGCTGGCCCCCGAGCCGCAGTCAAAAAAGGACATGTTCTTACGCCTCTTGGACGGCCCCGTCCTCCTCCGAGACAGGCTCATGGTACGTGCATGCCCATGGCGCCCAACTCCGAGACATATTCATCGCACTAACTGATTGCTTTGCTTTGGTGATGCGCAGACTATGTGGCTGGACAGGGAGACCTTCGCCAAATGCTACATGCTGTCGGCGAGGAATCTGTTCATCGCGTCGGGCCACATGCCGCAGCACTGGAGCTGGATCCCTCTCTCCGACTCCATGTTCGCGCTCGCTCTTCACACCTTCCTATAGTATTCCGTTATTTGATGCCCTTATTATTACAGCCAACGATATCTATATGTACGTACGGAGCTACGTCAAGAATAGTCTTGAAAAGTTAAGAGTACCAAGTTATAAAATTTTGCTTTCTAACACTTTTGCCTCTGATTGGTTTTTCGTCCTGATTACAGATGATAACCCTAGCTATGTGTGCCACAGGTTCTCTGAAGGGGCTCAACTAAACAGTGTGACATGGCTGGAAATCCGTGGAGGCATACACACCGACATGCTCACCCCAGACTCCAAGTACGGGGCTTACCTCGTGTTTAAGAGGACCCAAAATTTCAGTGGGTTCAATTATCCAATCCAGAAGGCCACGCTCTACTTTGGACAAATAATGGAATATACCAGTCCGGTTCTCCTTGGTGAGAATTGGACGCCGCCGCCAGAACTGGGTGTAGCTCAGCCTCAGCGCAGAGCCGACGGTTGGATGGAGATATCGCTGGGTCACTTCCACACGAGCGGGAATGAATTATATGCTGAGATGTCCTTCAGCCTGATGGAGACGGAAGGAGAAGTGACACAGAAGCGTGGTCTGATCGTGCATGGCATTGAGATCAGACGTGAGAAATCAGGATGAACGCGTGCTGCTTCAGACTTACGCATCTACTTCTATTTACCTTACTTCCAAAAGCAAGGGCATCGCTATTAGAACTCGATACCGTAATGTAAATTTCAACTTGAGTGGCATTGAAACATTGTGTATTTTTTAATTCGTATATTTTTGGGAAAAAAAATCATGTTTTAATTATATACTTATTGTGAACTTGGTTAAGGCTTGCAATCAACAAGTTACCCTGATCTCAGCACTCTAGGGGCATTTCTGCTTTTTCACCAGCCCACAGTCATTTTCACAACTACATTGTTAAACAACTAACCTTAACTGTAGAAACTTCCTCAGCACAGCAGCTTTGCCATCACAGTCCATAGCTGGTTCTATCGAAGCTGCAGCCGAAACAAACAAGACCTTATTCCTGTTGGCCAAAGCTTGGTCTTGGGCACATTGCCTATTTTCTCGTGCCCTTTTCCCCTTGTGTGCGCCTCACAGTCTCTAGTGTTAACTGATCAACAGCTTGACATGCTATAAACTGTTCCTCCCCTTTCGCATGTTTAATTGTCACGACCATGGTTTGTCTTCGTTTTTTCTCCCTCACATGTGTGTCAGCATGTCACCTCAGAAGTGTCATCTTCTTATCGCTGAGATTGTGGATGTAGCAATCATAGGTTGTGCTTCTTTTGTGCCTCCTTTCAACCACACCACGCACCATGGTAATAGCCTATCATCACTTCTTTCCCCGTGATTTATATGTAAACATATCAAATAGGATGTTTATATGTAAAATTTGCAAATCTCGTACACTGTGGAACATAGTCTACTCCTGGCCGGGTAAGGAAAGTATAGATGCACGCATTGTGATGTGATGTAGACTATGGTGGATATGATAACAACTGGTTTGTTTCATTTCTATCCAGCCGAGGGGAAACAATAGGTTCTGATGCCCGCCAAAAAGAAGTTGACACGTAAAATAAGGTTCTGATGTGATGTAGCACTACATAGCCAAGTGTTAACTAATTGGTCCGGATTCTTCCTCGACGCTTTCCGCCTCCTTATTCGCGCATGGGCGCATGGGAGTACTTGCTAACCACAATCGAAATAGTTTAATCCTGTAATTCGCCGGAGATAAAACTGTTCACGTCAACAGTGCATTACCCATATTTCAGTCATATCGGTACTCATCCGGATTATGGATGAACATCTCAGCAAAATCAAGATTGGAGACCAAATTGAAGATCACTTGCCGGTTTCTTTGTACGTATTAAATATACATGCAAGTCGTGTGTTTAAATAGAAGACATGTGGAATATTGAACTTGCGCTTTTGTAGGCAAAGATCATCTTGGTTTGGGCTGTAACTACACAAATACTCAGATTATAGACCATTTTTTTTATAGATTAAGAGTGTGTGTTATTATTTTCTCCTGTTGCAACGCATGGGCCCTTTTGCTAGTAGTTATAAAAGAAATTAACCACATCCGAATCATAGACCGGACGAGAGCTATATAATAGATCATAGAACACACATGCCCTTTTTTTCAAAACCATGGCACTATATAATAACAAACAATAATAAAAGTAAGAAAATTATACAAGTAGCTATCTAAATCATATCAGTAAGAATGTTTTCCTTTTAAAAAGAAGATAAGAACAAGAGGCTCACCACAATGGTGTCGGCGACGAGATCGGCGCGGGCGATCGACGGAGGTGACGACGGAGACGGGATGGGACGGACCGCCAAACCTAGCAAATCTTGGGGAAAATGGAGCTTCGAAGTCGAGCTTGGAGAGGAGAAAGCTTAAGTATGGCTCGGGCATTTCATTGAACACCTCATGTGCATAGGAGGTGAGAGCAGAGCAGCACACACCTCCCACACGCCGGCCGGCCATGGCAAGGGAAAGCATATATATAGGCATCTCTTTAGTCCCGTTTGGTCACTAGAATCGGGACAGAAGACAGACCTTTAGTCCCGGCCCCAGCCACCAACCGAGACTAAAGGGGCTGCGTCAGGAGCGAGGACCTCACTAGTAGAAAAATGCCCATTTGTCCCGGTTCCAGAGGCCCATTTGTCCCGGTTCTGGAACCGGGACTAAAGGGTTGGGACTAAAGCCCAATACCTTTAGTCACGGCTCGCCTACGAACCGGGACACATGGGGATCCACGTGGCTGCTGCGGCTTGCGCAGGCAGGAGGGCCTTTAGTCCTGGTTGGTAACACCAACAGGGACCAAAAAGCATCCACGCGTCAGCAG